AACATATTTTTCTGAAATATATACATGTATGTGTGTGCATTTATATATACATAATAAATATACACAGTACACATGCATATATTATGTAAACAAAAACTTTCATTTTGGATGCGATTAATCGTTTGACAGCACTAATATATATATATATATATATATATATAGAATATGTAATGAACTTCAATAATCATCTTTTCACCTTTGTCTCTTGATTGTTCTTGTTCTCAATTCCATAAATCTCCTGTAACAAGTAGCTGACACGGTCCACCTATGGTGAACAAGCAGATATTTAGGGGAAAAAATATTATGAACACATTACCATCTCTACTTGGTAGAGTAATGCTACAAACAGGACAAAATGGAAATCAACACTCACTATTTGTTTCTGTTTCAAAGGTTTGACTGAGAAACTGCCATCAACATGCTGTAAATGTAAAAAAAAACAAAAAAACATGATACACAAATACACAACTGCTACAAATAAGCCTTTCAGAAAGTGTGCACATGACATCAAATTCAACTCACTCTTTCAAATGCTGCCAGCAGTACATGGGCATGTCCCAAACAATCTGAAATAAATGATTACAATTAAAATGCAGATTCATAACAACGCTAAACAAACACACTGATTGGTTCTCTTTTGAAATATTGTTAAAGTGTCGCGCAATAAATCACATCCCTTCCGAGCAGCAAAAAGCCAGTGTAGTGTGTCAAGAGATTTATTGACATTTCTGATGTGACAGTGTTAGAGCAAATCATTTAATCTTTTATATTCTATTCTACTATAATAAAGTCCTGACAACATACCATCTCCTTCATCAACCACGGCCTGAATCACCATAGGAAAAACACCTCTGTCTAAATCAAAGTTGAGCTACAAAAAGAAGAGAAATGCATAACTGAGGTCAAATAATTTACATTTTCCAACGTAAAGTCATTTTCATTTTATTGGATTTGCTTGATCTTGCCTTTCATTATGTGCAAAATAATAATGCAGAGAGGTCAAATCAATATCTTAGAAGCCCGTATGGATTTGACCATCAGAGGAGAGTGACAGCACTGAGCTAGACTGAAGATACTTACATCTTCTTCCTTCCATTCAGAGAAATCCATCTTGAAGGATGGAAGGGTAAACTGCTGGCTAACCCCCCTTTTGTAATATACGGTTTCTGAGACCAATGCAGGGGTTTTTGGGTTGTATCTTAAGACGAGAAATATACTGTTAGTGCACAAATATCATAAAAAAAACTTTTTCAGAATAATGCCATTCAGGTACTTCAGATTATAATTACATTTACAGAGATTTTCCATATTTAAATGTATATTCTCTTTTGCAATTACTAAGTTTTTGCACATGCACAGCTTTCCAAATGAACTTGTAAAGCAAAACAAGAACAATTGCACAAAACAAGAGTTACTCAAAGGGTTATGTAATCTATCTCTTTACAAACTGGTATTCTTACACTAAAAATGAGCTGCTGAAAGACCCTGAATATCTCCACTTTTAAAAATGATTGATGGTTTTATATCCCCAACATTATATAACAGACAATTACTTACAAATAACACAATATGAACTTTAATAATACATAATTACTTGTAACACTGGTGATAAATTGCAATAGCATCAATGAATGGCAACTGTTCTTTTGAAAACAACAATACTGATTTAACATGGATAATGGGGATTTTTTTTTGTATTAGAATAAAGTCTATTTTCTAAATGCTTGTTACAGATCATATTGTAAACAACTCATCCAAGTATGTGTTCACTTTTTTGTTCGCTTTTTTATTTTTGACCTTGTAATATTTAATCATGTTTAAAATGTCATAACTAAACCTTATGGTAAAAAGGAATTTTCCAATTATTTAATGCACTTAAACCCAGCCTTGCAAGCTTACATTAATCTGCAATGGCCACACCTTAAAATCCAATCAATCACAAATCAAAACACACCAACATTTTTTCTTTGTATAATTAGTTACACTCAAACATGCATCACATAACAGACAATTACTTACAAATAACACAATATGAACTTTAATAATACATAATTACTTTTAACACTGGTGATAAATTGCAATAGCATCAATGAATGGCAACTGTTCTTTTGAAAACAACAATACTGATTTAACATGGATAATGGGGATTTTTTTTTGTATTAGAATAAAGTCTATTTTCTAAATGCTTGTTACAGATCATATTGTAAACAACTCATCCAAGTATGTGTTCACTTTTTTGTTCGCTTTTTTATTTTTGACCTTGTAATATTTAATCATGTTTAAAATGTCATAACTAAACCTTATGGTAAAAAGGAATTTTCCAATTATTTAATGCACTTAAACCCAGCCTTGCAAGCTTACATTAATCTGCAATGGCCACACCTTAAAATCCAATCAATCACAAATCAAAACACACCAACATTTTTTCTTTGTATAATTAGTTACACTCAAACATGCATCACAGTATGGAAAAATAAAAACTGTCGCTACTTTAATTTGATAGCAACATTAAACGTGTAACTGTCCTTACATTGCCATCCCATTGGAGAACTCCTCAAAAGCCTGACAGTAGATAGTGATGGCCACTCGCGCATCAGAGTCAAAGGTGAACTCCACTCCATACAAGGCCCTTGGTTTTGTGCCTTCATCAGTAGGACTATCAGCATCATCTTTATACCTAGAATCATACAATTGACAATGAAAATGCAACATTACTTAAAAGCAAATGCATCAATAACAGAATAAACGTGACTACACACAGCACCAACTCAACTGAGATCATTTGTTCTCAAGATATGAATGATTATATTTCATATAGCAATCCTGAATCAGTACCTGGCCAATCGTAATGAGTCTTTTCTGATATTGACAAGACTTCTCAATGTCTTGACTGGCTCTTGGGGTGCTGGAGTAACATAGGGAAACTGTGGCAGGTAAGGCAAAAACAAAATATGAAATAAAGGAAACCATTCATATTTATCAGACGCTTTTATCTAAAGCCAACACAAGTTTATCTTTTTGAATTCATCAAAAAGAGACAAGGACAGTGGAAACACCACAAAACCTTCCAAATTCAGATGTACCTGCACTGGGCGGTTACCAAGAAAGTTGAGATCCATGTTTTCTCCAAAAAGGTAACCCTCTGGATGAGGAGTGTCAAACTTCTCTCCTCCCATGAAAAAATGGCTGGCAAAATAGTTTCCTTGGGGAAGGAAAACAGTAATTATATAATCTGACACCTCTAACAAAACGTGTAAACAATAACACCCTCCGTCAAGGCATCCTTTGTCGTCGTTTACACTGGTATTGAAATTTGTACATAGCTGATCCTTTTTCATATGGATTTTGAATTACATCATTATTAGATTAATGGGAGCTTAACTGAGTGCTTACAAGACAAGAGCACATGAACGTCGCCTTGTATCACAGCAGTCAGTCTTACCTGATTTTGGAGGATATCTGTATGCAGAATTGGCCTGGATGTCGATGTCCTCAACACCAGCGATTCTTCGACTAAGAATTGAACCCATTTCTCCACCACAGTCCGATCAGAACAAACTAGCGGTTATTAAATGTGCACGACAACAGCAACACGGCTGGTTAAGTCAGCTAACCAGCTAACCTTAGCCGCGTAACAATAACAGCAACGGCTCCGAACCGACAAACTGTTCAAATCAACATGACATGTGTTTGATCGGCATTTCTGTTCTTCTGAGTCGGATCAGATGTGTCTCGTACAGTCGTATTATGGGATGTTCAGTTCAGTCAGCTGGATCAGGCTTGACACACTGGCTAACTGACTAGCAAGCCAGCACCTAACGTTAGCTAGTTTGTTCGCCTGTCACGAACTGGTACCCACTAAAACAACAAGAGGCGAACAGGCACTTAAACACACAAAAGTGAATTGTAAAAGGCAAGATAAAAGACCTGCAGATAATTCTGTCCTTGGTGTTTCCTCTAAAGTACAACAGCCGATTTCTTCGTGAAAACACAACAAACGGAAATCGTTGTTGCGAGGCGACCCCGAGACGGTTGTAGCATATCGAAACCCCGTGATTGGCTGAGCTCGTCACGAGAAGCGTATGCTCGTCCAATCAAAAGAGCACAAGCTTCTGCGATTGGCTGAGCCGACCCAGAGCCATGGAAAGAGAGAGAAGTCCAAAACGCTCGATCGTCACGTGACTCACGTAGACCTCAAATAGTTCCAGGAAGTTCATAGCGGGCAATTGAAATACATTGAGTTGGAGAGACAAATAAATGAAGATATTTTATTAAGTGAAAACTAATCTTGTTCAATGTTTTTGATTCTTGTGCACCCCTCAGTTATTAATATATAAACATATATTTGTAGTATATTCCAATTTAAAACAACTTAAAACATTTTTACACATTTAATCATATATTTGATGTATGTTGACTTTTGTTATGCACTTATTTACAGCAATCGATTTATACATTTATAATAAACTATAAAGCATGTTGTCCTTGAACAGTCTCCACTATAGTTTGCTGTGCTGCATGGGAGGGCTCCAGTCACTCACAGAAAGGAGTGTGCATGTATGGTTTCCATACTGATCTGGAGAGGAGAAAAAAATGCATCAAGTTTTGTTCAATTCACATTTATTTGTATAGCACCTTTTAATATACACATTGTTTCAAAGCAGCTCTACAGAAAATGAATGTTTCTACATTACGAATAAGAGTTCTGTTAACAGGTGTAACTGTGCCAAAGTAATGGTAGAAATGTTCTAAAATTAGGCTATACAAATCATGCAGACAACACAGGCTTCATTTGTCATCTCACTGAGACATGGACAGTAATATGTTTAAATATATTAGTAATATAAAAGTGTCTGCTAAATGACTAAATGTAAATTAACTGTAACTGTATGTAAAATACATAAAAATCCTCATGGCAGCAGTGATGCATTGCTTACAGTTATAGTAAAATGACCATATTTATGAAATGAAGGGACATTTCCTTGTTCAGTGGTCAAAATATAATTGAAATCACATTTGTTATTATCTATGAATACATAGCATATATGTTACAACAAACAAGAAAATGTATATAACAACTATTACTCCCCTCCCCCCAACCCACCACACATCAAGATTTTGAAAATAAATAAAATGCAGATAAATAAATAAAATAGCTACAAAAATAATGGAACTTGTTTAAATGACCAAGATCTCTCTAACTGAACATATATTATTATTATTATTATTATTATTATGTCTGACTCTAACTGGTTGTAATATACTATTCACCAAAAATCATTTCATTTTCTCAAACTGTGAATATACTGTAATTACAAATTAGACATTATTTAGCATTTTAAGGCTCATTCACAGCACAAACTATGTGCTTTCTTCAAATATAACTCTTCCAAGTGTAATTGTTTACTTATTTATACCCACATTTTCAATGCTATTTTGAATATATAGACAAATTTAGGTAATTTAAGGCAAGTAACACGGCCATTAAGAAAGGTATTAAGGACAACACAAACAACCACAATACACATGAGCATGCCAAAAACTGTTTATTTGATCTGAGGACACAATGCTAAATTTTACTTATTATATTGATGGATGTGGTGAAGAATGTCGAACAGATGACGGAAAACTAATGATAAATCCCAGTAGTGGTGAGACCTTGATGTAAAGTATGTTTGTAAAAATTTAAAGGGATAGTTCACCCAAAAATGAAAATTCTGTCATTAATTACTCACCCTCATGTCGTTCCAAACCCGTAAGACCTTCTTTCATCTTCTGAACACAAATTAAGATATTTTTGATGGAATCTGAGAGCTGTCTGCCTCTCCCCTAGACAGCAATGCAACTGAAATGTTCCCAAGTCCAGAGACGTAGCAAGGAGATTGGTAAAATAATCCATGTGACATCAGTGGTTCAACCATAATTTTACGAAGCTACGAGAATACTTTTTGTACGCAAAAGAAAAAAATAACGACTTTATTCAACAATTCGTCTCCTCCGCATCACCCTGGTGCCATTTTGGAGAGTATCAGCTGGACATAAAACAGTGTATGCTGTTCTGTGTCAGCTGCATCACGCCAGATCTGTTTCCCACGTTGTTGTGATTTGATCTGAACAGAAACAGCGTATCCATGTGACGCAGCTGACACAGAACAATACTAAAAAATGTTTACGTTCAGCTGATATTCTCCAAAATGGCACCAGGGTGATGCGGAGGAGACAAATTGTTGAATAAAGTGTTTTTCTCTGCGCACAAAAATTATTCTCGTAGCTTCGTAAAAATTATGGTTGAACCACTGATGTCACACGGATTATTTTACCGATCTCCTTGCTACGTCTCTGGACTTGGGAACATTTCAGTTGCATTGCTGTCTATGGGAGGGTCAGACAGCTCTCAGATTCCATCAAAAATATCTTAATTTGTGTTCAGAAGATGAACGAAGGTCTTACGGGTTTGGAACGACATGAGGGTGAGTAATTAATGACAGAATTTTCATTTTTGGGTGAACTATCCCTTTAACATAAATGTCATATGCATGGAAACCAAATGTCTGTCTTGTTGGATTAAACAGGCTCTCATTTCTGCATCCTTGACTACAAATCCCAGAGTCCCTCTCTGACGCTCACTGCAGTTGTCCATCAGTGGGCGCTAAGTAGGACGGCTCAACTGAACTCACAACATTTTTTTTGTTTCCAGTCGACAAGTTGATGTTTGAGTGCGGCGTTTTTGAAAAACTGCAAGCTAAAACTTTGAAACTGACGATATCACTCAGATCACTAAATATCAGAAAGATCACAGAAATCACTAAATATGGACGAGCTAAGGCATCAAGTTATGATAAATCAGTTTGTTCTTACAGCCGGATGTGCGGCAGATCAAGCAAAGCAGCTTCTACAAGCTTCACACTGGCAGTTTGAGGTATGTTTGTTTGTTAGCCTGGCACATCAAACTGAACGTCTTGTGGCACAGCAAAAAAATTGCACAAATCACTATGATTAACTTTTTAGTTTATTTATATATAGACATAATTTATAATCATGCGAGACAAGCACCAGACAACAGTCAATCTAAACATAAGACATTGAAATACATAATAAATTATTTTAAACGGAATTAAAAATATTGGCTTCAGTGAAATGAAAAGTCTATAAAGGTATGTTTAATGTTATGTTCAAAGCCCTCCAATACACATTTGCTTACGTCCTCGACTATTTATGAATTAATGTACTTATAACTCTTTTATTATGGTGTTGCAGACTGCTCTCAGTACATTTTTCCAAGAGGCTAATATTCCTTACAGCCATCAAATGGTGAGTATATATATATATATATTTTTTTTTTGTCGTTTATTGATAGTTTTTCATATCTGTTATTATGACTTCCGCCATGTTGAAACCACGAGTCGGACAAAAATAAACACAGGCTGACATGTTTCTAGCGAAGGCTACATTTATGTCATTTAAAATTCGCAACGTTGTCGTTTAAGCACATATAATCTCCCGTAGGTAGTTAATTAAATATGTTAATATTTAAGATGATAAAATAATCTGGACTCATGGGACTTGCGCTTTTGCAAACGTGTCCAAAGTTGTGGGGGAGGGCGATTCCAGGAAACAGAGAACACGCGCTTGACACGGCGCTGTTTACACCGGTACTAAATCAATTAGATCGCTACGATAGGAACGCAGTGTAGCATGCTCAAAACCTCGCTTGCTTAAATACCCCCACATTTGACATTTTCTAGCAGATATTTGAAATCAAAGGAATTTGTTTGGAATTACCTAGAAGTAGTAATACTACCGGCCACATGCAAAGCGGATCAAATGGAGTTAACCCTTGGAAAGCACCTCATTTGCTTCTCACTTACAACGCTCATACTCGTTTTTGCTAATTAAGAAGGTTTACTTCATAAAATGAGCATCGCTAAAATGATGCAATATTTAAATGAGGCACAGTGTACACCCACACGACTTGGACTCATATCAGTATTTTAGAAAAGGCTGCTTTATTCTTCAGGGAGCGGGTCGCACCCTTATGGGCGCTGCTATGGTGACGCCTCGAGCGTCACGCGACTGACTGCGTTTATAATTACTAACAACAAGTGTAATAATACATTTCATTCATATATTGCCAGTGTCTTACAGTACATCTAAGCAACGAACATGACAAACGAAAAAAACAAAAATCAGATTCTGATTATAAAAAAATGAGGTGAAAGGTTGGTGGGCGTGGGCGTGTTTATATTTGCTTCAAATGTTTGGGCCCCTGAGAGTGTGAGAAGACGGGTGATTTAGGGGCCATTTACACGTTTTCAGCCAAAAATGGAAAACTTTTTATGCGTTTTGCCTGTTCATTGACATGACAATGGCGTTTTGGGGACTGAAAACGCATATTTTTGAAAACGGGCTTCAAGGTGCAAGTGTTTGAAAACGCCACCGTTATTGTTTCCGTGTAAACACCCAAAACTCAAGAGTTTGCTAACGCTTCTTCAGCAAAGTGTGGATTTACTTCACCAATATTACAACCAACAGTGGAGATGCATCATATACAACATATAATCGTCACTTCCTACAGGTACTGTTTACTAACAAGGTGACAACTACTGGCCTGGCATACGTAATACAGCGTTTTTGGATATGTGTTTTTCCGATATGTGTAAACGCGAATCGTTTTGAAAACGTTGTCGTGTACACTTGAAATTTTTTAAAAACGCAAGGGAAAAAACTTTGTCGTGTAAACGTAGCCTTATACTGCAAGAATGATCTGTGTGTGACTTGTGACAGGAGAGCACTGTTACACTTTCGAATGACAGGGTATTGTTTGAGTGGTTAGTGCGCAACTGTGCTCACGGCGACCCGAGTTCGAGTCCCGTCTCAAGGTCTTTTGCCGATCCCGCTCCCCTCTCTCCTCCCAGTGCTTTCCTGTCATCTCTCTACTGTCGTATCTCATTAAAAAAGGCATAAAAATAACTTTTAAAAAAAAAGATAGCCTTTACACATGCAGCTTTCACTTTCAAGGTCTCATTATTATTGTCATATAAGGATGTC